GAGATTTATTAAGCAATTATGTATTGTCTGCACTGTATTAGCAGTATATACTCTATATAGAGTATATACTGCTAATACAGTGCAGACAATACATTTACAATTATACTAACATGAATGTATTAAATGATCTGTATGTAGCCCTGTACTATGGATCATTTAACCCATTCATGTTAGCAGAGGATCATTGTAAATGTATTGTTGCAGGCACTCTATATGTACATGTACTATATACTACATATAGAATGCACTGAACAATAGATTTACAATTATCCTCTGCTAATATGAATGGGTTAAATGATCCGTAGTACATTATATGTAGCCCTGTACCCCCTTTTCCACTTACAGAGCTAGGTTATTGTTTTTCTTTTAAATAAATATTCATGTAATTTTATTGGTATCTATCTACCATTAGCTGCCTCATTTCCCACCCTCGGCTTATATTCGAGTCAATACTTTTTCCCAGTTTTTTGTGGTAAAATTAGGTACCTCGGCTTATATTCGGGACGGCTTATATTCGGGACGGCTTATACTCGAGTATATACGGTAATCCCAGTCTTCTGCCATTACTTCAAATTTACAACAGTCTACTTCGGTCCTCATTGATGTTGACCATACTGAACTACGCTACATCTGGAGGATCTGCCTACTGTCTCCAACCTTGGATCTTCATGAGCTCCAACAGCTGCAAAGACCCTTCCATTGAACCTGATCTTTTATGTATTCCTCTATGTAGATTGGAAGCACCCCAAATGGTCCTGGATTTGTTGTCTTTTACCCACTGTGGATATCTCTGTGACTCACTATAACCGGGAAACCACTAGGCCAGTAGAGGGTTATCTTTCTTTTAAGGATTCCACCGAGTAACCACTAAAACCCGGTTCTTGCTGGGGAGCCTTGGCTTTTGTTCAATTCTTGCCATGACCTTAGTCTATTAAACTGGTGGAATGGGTTAAATCCCTCAAGAAATCTCTCTGCTGTGGTGGTGGTCCCCTTCCTGATTGACCTTGTGGAGCAGATGTCTGGAACCCTATGCTTCAGTTGTGAAGGCTTGCTGGAAGCATCTAAGATTGTGTCTTGTGTAGGTCTGTTGCCCATTCAGATGTGCAGAGCACTCTGGTTAAGGTGCTGGAAGGCAAAAGTATCTGGGGAGCGTCAGACTCGCTTTTCTCTATCTGGTTTGGACACACCCTTGACATTAAGGATATCACTGGAAGCCAGTGCATTTACCTACCTCAGCATGAGAAGTCCAAAGAAAGGTTGGCTCAGTAGGAAATCTAACATCCATCCCCTGCCTACTCTTGTTGAGTGCTTCCAATGGACCTCATCTCTTTGGCCATGTTGACTGTGTTGGATTAAATCCTTGGTTTACTCAGGAGCTACTGTTGAACATTTTGAAGTTTCTTCTGACCCTGATAATCCTGGGGTCTCATCTTGGCAAGGTGGTTGTGTGGTCTTAGTCTTTGAGTATTGAGTTCTTGTTCTTGAGTCCTATGGTATCGGGTGAGTTGAGGCTTATGGCCTTTCTACTTAGGTGCGCTTGGTTTCCTTCTTCCAGGACATTGTTATAAGATCCGCTGGCCAGTACCTGGTTTTCATAAGCAAACGCATCAGCTCATTGTGTGTTTTTTCCCTGTGCAGAATTTGTCATTTCAGCCTTATGGTTGGGTCAACTTGACCAGCTTCATGCTTTAGTCTATTTGTTGCTCTCCCCTCGTCTCTGGATTTGTGACCATTATTCTTTGTTTTTGAGCATCAGGCTTGGTTCTCCATCTTCTCCCCCTTGTTTAGGCTGGTTCCCCTCACCAGTCAGTGGGTTTAGCCTCATCCACTGTTGGCTTTGTGCGTTGATCCCTCAGGAGGAGCTTGAGCTGCAATTGGTTTTGGTTTATGTTGAGCCTGTTAGTGGTTATTTGCAGTTTGCCCACCTCTCATTGGGCTTCTTTTGGACATCCCGACAGTAATGTCTTCCTGTGTCCCTGAATGGATATGAAAGGATATAGGATTTTTGTGCTAGCCAAAAAATCATTTTTTTGGCATTCACATGTCTCTGTGCTTATGATCATGATCTTAGTACTACTTGCAACAAACTGAGGCATTTATACAAAATATTCAGAATCTCGCCAGAAACAAGGACACCACACCCCTAATTGTAAATATACACCAAGCAAAACTAAATGGGGCTTTTAAGGTGTCATCTAAAGAATGCAGAGGGACATAACTAAACATATAATAACACATGGGTCCCATGTAGTATACTTTATTAGAATAACAGCTACTTTTATTTAAAAATTACATATCGGACATACAAGTGAAAACAACATATCCACTCCTCTTAAAAACCAATAACGGTTCTCCTTCATGGCAATAGTAGGTGCACCACGACATGGAACCCATACAGATACATAATGTATGAACTCAATACACTGTTTTGACATCAGTTTCCTTATGGGAATATACTTTAACAATTTCAGAAAAAATCATATTCATCATTAAATCATACGCATTTCTGTAGTGGGTCCAGCCTTTACGCGTTTTGCCAAAGCGTCATCAGGGAGTTTGGAGGCAGCCTATGATATTCACATGGACATGATGATAAATACACCAATGACTACATATTCAATAAACTCCACTGACTAGACACCTAAGGTTTACATAATCAGTCACAATACAAGGTAAATACATAAATACCATTTTTGAGGTTTTATTGGTGAGTAGATCCACATTCAGGGAGCCTCCCTCATCAACAAGAAACCGAGAGGATGGAGAAAATGTAAGGGTGGCGAGGCAGGGTGCCTGTCCTCGGGTACATATAAACATTGCAGTACAATCTAAGATTCTACCATGTACATTCATGCTTCTATAAGGTCTCAAACCCAACAAACAAGTTTTCTCTCTAACACTTAATGGGCCAATTAAATAGACTTCATTGTACCCAAGTGCCTCTGAATTGGAGGTTTCCTGCCCGAGCACTGGGCCCTCCCCCCCGGACTCCTCCTTTCAATGGCACTGCGCCGTAAACCTATCAGCGCCGTCCCAATTTCACGTCGACAATAAAGAGCCCAAGGAAACCAGCAAAAACATTGCCCCTCCCCGATCCACCGAAGGGGAGGCGATGTCTAGGTGCCGACCATCCCCAAAGGATGTAATAAGGGGACAGGCCTGATTATTCCCAGTCACGGGTTAGAGAGACAACTCTCAGGCATGTGGATAACCACCATACACCTCCACAAATGTCACCACTCAACACAGACAGAGCAGGAATTCGACAACCATATTACATTATATTCAAGAAACAACAAAGTCATGATCCCCAATATTTCATCCTAAATGCAGTCAGAAATGGCACAAATAAAAACCCCAAACGCAATTAGTGAGCGTTAGTGTTGTGTGTAAAGTGTATATATAAATGTGCAATAGGTATCCATTTGTATAACAGATGAAATGTCATGTGGATAAACTTGCTATATAGTGGCAGTATACAGTATTTTTCGCTCCATAAGAGGCACCTGACCATAAGAGGCACCTAGGTTTAGAGGAAAAAAACAAGAAAAAGTGAAAAAGATCAAGTGAAACAACTTTATTTACCGCCTCCACAATGCTGCTGCCCGTGTTGCCTGTGTCTAACTTGGGCATATTGAGACTCCTCCCTTTCCCTGTCATGTGGCATGACACAGGAAGGTGAGATGCCGGTCAGACACAGAAGTTAGACAGCGGCAGCACGGGCAGCGGCATTATGGAAGAGGTAAACTTCGCTGGCTCGAGTGAGTACACTGTCACCCTCCCCGCCTCAGCTCTCTCTCACACACACACACATCACCCTGCGGGAGCCGCTGGACGCGTGTGGTATGACAGCTGAGGCGGCAGGGCTGCTGGCGCAGAAGATTGTCGAGACCTAGGGGGAATATTCGCTCCATAAGACGCAGATACATTTTTGCCCGCCTTTTGGGGGGAAAAAGTGCGTCACATGGAGCGAAAAATACGGTAAATCTTCACAATCACTGATCCCCCACCGCCACCAAAATGAAAGAAATAGTGCAAGCTGGTTACTGTCTTTGTCATATGCAAATAGAAATGTCTTCTTAAAGCATGTTACTTACAGCTATGTTCTTGTCCTTCTGCAGACTCTGCTTTCCGTTCCAGATGTTGTAAGCCAAAGTGATACACTGAGTCAGTTGCGGGAGTTCCTGAGCTAGAATATCCTCCGATTTCTGATGCTACAAGAAAAATGATCTGAAGCTGCACCTTTTATTGTGTTAAACATATTAAAACAAAAACATGTACATTTGTGTATATATATAGGGAAATGTTTGTATAGTTGTGTTCTAAATAATAAATATATGACCTATGTTGCTTTAGCTTGCTTTTTTATGACTTAAAATAAAACATATTTTGTGTATACTTATTGTATATTGCTGCCAAGCTGAGGAAAAAACCATTGTTACAGAGCCTCCCCATAGGCATTAGGAGAGCTGACTCTAGACGACATGAAACAAATCTCTCCCCATCGCTATTTGGAAGTGTACGTGTGATGCTCCCAGACACACACCTCTCCCTGTAAATCTGCAGCAGTTAGGAGGCTGCACTACTAGAATAGGTATATGCCGGTGAATAAAATCATTGCAAATTGTTTATTTAGCGTTGGTGTTATGCAGGTGAACACAATTCTGGGAGCTTTTTTGTGGTATTGGATAAAAAGAAATTTAGGAAAGCGACCATGTTAAGGGTTTTTAATGATTTAGTTGAAAAAGAACTCCAGACATTAAAAATGAACCCTTGCAGTGGGTCTCCACTAGGGATGTTCAGATACCAGTGCAGATACTTGCCATTTTACAACCCCTTGGTGGCTCAATTCCTGAGGGCAGTGTTCCAGAAGAAGAACTCCGTTTTGCAAATGGGATTTACCTATAGTACTCTATTTCATGGGGGCAACTTCTGAAACTGCAATCATGTCGTCTTTGGCTATATTCACTAAAGAGCATCTTTCTGGTTGCAATAGCTTCAGCTTCTAGCATCTGAGCTTCATGCCATTGGTTGTAAGGTGCCCTATGTGATCTTCCACCAAGATTGGATAGAGCTAGATCTTTGCCAGTGCCAGTAGAGATGACTGCTCACTCCACACGCAGTATTTCAACTACCTCAAATTAAATGACTAAAGTTACTTATATTATTAAAGTGTCCTACCCTTGTTTGGCAAATGTGATGCCAGGAAACTGGAAAATTCATGTCCGAATACTTACTGTAATTTCCTTTCCTGACTTATCTCCATGGCGTCACGCAGCACCCAGCCTTGAAGTTGAGGAGTATCTAGTTATGGAATGCTGTCTGTGGGAGGACTGTTCCATTTTCTGGTATATGGTCCCAATTTAATGGGAGATGGGGGTAAACCGGTTAGTGTGATGTCATAGGGAAAAATACGGAAAGGAAAATTATGGTAAGATTTCCGACATGAATTTTCTGTTTTTTCTCCACAGCCAGACCTCCCAAGCTTGGCTCCTAGTCGCTCGAAGTCTGCAACATCCTCAGACTTTCCTCAGAAAGAAGGTGTGTCCCCACTTACCAAAATGGGGGGAATGTTGACTCTTATGGACATCTTGTATCTCAAATGCCTGGGTATGCGAGGTGGGCTCCAAGTTGGGGTTTCAATCCCAGCCCCCTCCTTGGATTCTCACCTACAACCTTCCTGTATCACTGCACAAATTAGTTTTTCAATCAAGCCTCTTGGGTCTTTTCGACCAAAGTGTCGTTGCCCCAGTTCCCGTGGCAGAGCAGTTTCAAGGATTTTACTTCAGTTCCCAAACCCAAAGGGGGCGTTGGCTCAATCTTGGTTCTTAAAGCTCCGAATGTCTTCATTCCCAGAAATTCTGTATGGAGTTTCCCAGGTCTATCATTGCCGCCCTTTACCAGGGAGACTTTCAAGCCTTAGTGGGCATTAAAGACACCTGCCTACATGTTTCCAATGCATCATTAAGTAGGAGGAAACCCACACAAGCACAGGAAGAACTTACAGATAATGTCCTACCTTGGATTTGAATTAGGGACCCTCAGCGATGGAAAGCAGAAGTGCTAACCACTGAGCCACTGCCAGCAGTTACCGGCTCCACGAGCAGGGGTTGCATGCATACACAAATGGTGTTTTCTACAGTAACAATTCATATTTGCAGTATGGTGAATGTTGGCAGAGCTGGATAGAGTAAGCACATGCTTGTAGGAATTAATGATAAGTTACTGATGCAACATTGGCCTATTTTATAAATACAAGAAATGTTAATGAGACTTGTATTGTCCATTGTAGAATGGGAAAGCCAGATGTTGGGCAAGATGTTGTCAGACATATAATTGATTTTATCTTTTTAATGGATCTGATGGCGCTAATTAATCATTTGCTGCTTCATAATTATGCTCAATAGGACCGAATACCCACAATAAATCCTAATACCCTTCCGATTGGGTATAAGGACTACTTCATCTCTTATTAAAGTAAATGACATGCCATTACATTAACCTAGAAAAACAATTAGGCCTTAAATGATGAAACTATTTAGAAATAAGTAAAACATACAGACAAACTACATACCATATCTACAGGTGAAACTCGAATAATTAGAATATCGTGCAAAGTTCATTTATTTCACTAATGCAACTTAAAAGGTGAAACTAATATATGAGATAGACTCATTACATGCAAAGCAAGATAGTTCAAGCCGTGATTTGTCATAATTGTGATGATTATGGCTTACAGCTCATGAAAACCCCAAATCCACAATCTCAGAAAAGTAGATTATTACATGCAATCAATAAAACAAGGATTGTACATAGAACAATATCGGACCTCTGAAAAGTACAAGCATGCATATGTACTCAGTACTTGGTTTGGGCCCCTTTTGCAGCACTTACTGCAATTACTTTTGCACGATAAGTTAATCGAGTTTCACCTGTCTATCTACTATGCTCTAGTGCCAGATGTTACGGCAAAACAGCTATAGGTTTTCCCATAACACATGAACATTTTAATCCAGGTTCAAGATATTGCTGTAGATTATATGGTATACTGGAGATGTTCACTAAATCATTACCAGCAGTATTCTGGTAGATGAAGAGTTAGGCCAGCTATTCAGGTCTGAAGGTGACCTCACTTGTCTTTGTCAGTGGAGGAGGAGGATGAGGATACACACCGCATCCATTTGATGGCTGCCTGAAAGGATTTTCAAGGTTCTGCAAATGACTCCACTGAGGCCTTTCACTGAGCTATTAATGGCCTGGGCCTTTTATGTCAGTGATGCAATGTGAAATACAGTATACAAAATCTCAAATATAGAATTTTTGTTTTTAATTGAATGGAATGAATAGTACACACAGTGATCAATTGTCTAAATAAAGTGCTGTTTGTAGAAGAATTACCCCTTTAAGGTTACAATACCCCAGTACAGTGTTGCCCAAAGTGTAAAATGTGGTACTTCATTACCCACTTAATGTGGGTGAAGCACTCCAAGGCTCAATCCTGTGTAGATCTGCCACATGGTAAAATATATATCCTCTTAAGGGCCTCTTTACACCACACTGCATGTGGTAATGCATGTTGATGTGAATGGCACCCCAATGCACCAGTGTGCAGCACAATGTACAATGTCATGTTTTGTGTTGCAAAAAAAGCAGCCCGCTCCAGTTTTGCATTTGCCGGCTTTCATCTAGTTCATTTTGAAAGGGTTGTTTAAAGCAACATGGGTCAAGTCAATGTGTGAGTTGGGGTGTGGATAGGGAGAGACTAGTACAGGGGTAGGCAAACTCTGGCCCTCCAGCTGTAGTGCAACTGCAAATTCCATTAGGCATTGCAAGGCTCTGACAGCCACAGGCATGATGGGATTTGTTGTTTCACCACAGCTGGAAGGTCAGAGTTTGCCTACCCCTGTACTAGTGGGATCATGGTGGAAAAAACTGTTTATGTTGAAGAAACCCACTTCCTAACAGGGTGCTGGTAGTGGAACCCGGGAGGACACTCCAAAGGTTGACAGTCTGAGTGATACACTGAGCAAAGTTTGGAAACCTCTGGCCCAGTGGTCCAATGCACAATACAGACCAACTGACGCAATGATGTTAGCAAATATACCAATGTGATGTCATTAAATGTTCGCTCAGTCAGTGTGAAAGTTCCTTGGGACAGGCTACTCCTGTGTATGAATGCTATGTGTTTTTATTTTGCTTCTGAATGTTTATCATTGTGTGATCCTGGCACCAGACGCTATTTTAATATCACAGGTGAAGCAGGAATATAACACATCAAAAATCTATCCATACCTATAGATTTAATGTGTATGTCCTAAGGTGATCTGTTGGATTAATCCCTGCTTGTCCATTGCCAGAAAGACCAGAAAACATATCTGCTGGATAAAATGAATGGATGACCATTACGTAATGCTTGTAGGCCTATGGCGAGGGGTGGGAGCTTTCCCTTTTTTCTCTCCGTCTTTCTATCTCTTTTCTCAATTATTTTTCCCTCTCCTATCCTCACTCTTCCTGCCTTCTTTCCTGTTTCTACTTCTTAGCTACATTTCCTTTGCCTTCCTGTCTTCTCTTCCGGTCACTTTACCCCCCTTCCCTTTTTCCTTCCTTTTTGGTTCTACTATCTCTTCTTCGGTGGATTTATCTAGAGGTGATTGCTCACTACTGAAGTCAGCGACACGATTTCCCCACATGGGTCTCTATATCTGGTGTTGGTTTGCTTTGTTTGGGATCTCCTTGACCTTCAACTTTCTTAATTGTAATATGTTGAATTTGTGTTTCACTCTGGAAATTCCACATACTACTTACCTTGAGATGTCTTGAAGCTCATTATTCCTGTTTTGCTTTGTATTTCCCTTTTTTGTCTCAAGGGGGGTGCGGCCTGCACCTGGTGACCGCATCAGAGGGGGTGACACCTATATGACTGACAGTAATTTTGGTGTCACCCCCTTTGAAAAGTTGGCCACTCTGTTATGGACTTAAAGCCGGACAGCTGCACGAGAGAGGAGGGGATACCTGTGAAAAGTCTGGCACTCGGTCATGGACCGAAAGCCTGACAGTTGTAGGGGAGAGGAGGGGACTCAGCAACTTACCTTATCCCACCGGGTGAACATTCCGTCCTCTCTCTGCTGGCGTCCATCATCAAGATGGCTGCCGGCAGGTAATAGTGCATGACATCATCACATGCATGTGCGAT